AACCCATTAAGGCACTGAGTTCATATTCCCTGCACCAAATAATCTGAATATTCTTAATAACATGCAAATGAAATAAACTTCTAAATTAAAACTCTAACTTTCAAGAGAACACATGCTTAATAAAGTGAAATGACAGTTGTTCTTAGCCCCTTTCTTAAAGAGGTTTTTAAATGCCACTAAGGTCCTATCTATGAAGTAGAAAATATTCAAATATTCTCCATGGAAGACTAGGATTTTTTTGGTGTGGTGTTTGGTTTGTTTTTTTTTTTTTTGGTAAGCTGCCATTCTTGAGATCTGATGAGTAAAGCAAGGTTTTCTGAAACATTTCGACTTGTCAAAGAGATTTCCTTCATTCACATTAATGTGACGTGGTTTCCTACCTTGAACTGAGGGGATATGTAGATATGCCTGATTTCATGTTGTCTTGGAGCAGAAAAACTGCTTTAGACAGTCAAAAATCGTAAGTATTTTCCTGTGAAATAAACAACCCCCGGGACCCTTGGATTTATAACTTCCAGTAGCCAAAGAACTTTGCTTATCTAAAATAAATTCTGGGATATTTTTAATGGACTTTGGCAACACAGAATTAGAAAGTTCACAGGTGCCTGGTTTTGGCAGGGGATGCAATATTTCTTGATCATCTGAGTTGCTGCACTCAGTTTTAAAGGACTGGAGTATTGGAGCCTTTATGTTCTGTCATTTCTCTGCCTCACGATACCAGGCCATTGAATCAGTTTCATGGAACACCACTGCCTTAATGCAATAATACGACAGGGACAGCAAAAAAAAAAAAAAAAAAAAAAAAAGAGGCACTTCCAAAATGATGCTTTAGAGATAAAGAAAATTCCTAAGTAAACAGGAATCTGTGGGATAGATAATACCTACAGAAGAAATCTTGTTACTTCCACCAAGAACAGATTAAGCTTTTCTTCCTGTCTCATTATGGCAAAGTATCAGAAGAAGCTGTGTGGAAAACAAGAACTATTTTCTGAATAACATTGCAGTTTGGCCAGCCTAGAGTTGGTTCCATTAGAAACTTTCTAAAAATAAACACATAAGTAAATGCACACAAAAAATATATCTGAGAGGTGGAAAAGATATGCTACTACTGGGCATAGTTTAGATGAAGGATCTGAACTGGAGCCAAGGAAAGCCAAATTGTTACCTTAGCTTTGGAATTTTCTGAGATGGATTTTTTTTCCCCATCTGTCCTGCCTTTGGTTTTGATGAAAAAATTATTTATGTTGTGAATTTGCAACTTCTGAGGACAAAATAGTTAATAAAAAATTAAATGCCAGTATTGACACCCTGTCACAGAAGAAGTGTAGAAAGGAATTCAGAATTTCTCCCATACCTCCTCCATTGTTATTCGTATAAGCAGCTACTTTCTTATACTTCTGACAAATTTTGATACCCTTATGACTCTGCTGTACTGGAGGAACAGTAGAAGACAGATGTATTTTCTTTTTATGCCCTTACCTCCTAACATAGTACAAACTACCTATCTGTCCAGTACTCTACCTCAAAACTCGTTACTGGTGTTCTAAAGATAACACTTCCACATTGACCTGTTGTGCATTTTTCCCCCTGCTCTTTCTAATGAACCACAAGGCAATAAATCTTCTCCAAGCAATCCCTTGCTTTATGTATCAGAATTTCTGTGTGACTGGACTGCACCACATTCTTTGAAATACAATCTTGTACATTTAAGCCATGCTACTTTCACTGGATACCTTCCTAGAAAAAGAACACCTATACAACATGCTTGAAGTGTTTGAAGAAAAAAATCACAGGTCCGGCCTAACACCTGGAATGCTGTATAGTCTGGATACTCAAGATTAGTACAAGGGAACAAAAGAAAGATTAGAAACTGATGACAAAATGACTAAAACAATATAAACTACAAATATATGAGAGTCTAAACATGTTAGAATTGTCCTATCTGGAGAATAAATGACGACTATAACATCATGAGTAGCACGGATAAGGTGATCAACTGTCCAATGTCTCTCCAAATATTAAAAAAAAAGGACAATATCAGGAAGAAATGTCAAAACACAGGAGGCATATCTTCAAACACTGTGTGGCTGAGTTATGCAATTCATTCTTACAGGAAACTGGATGATGGAAGTTCACAGTGGCTCCAGATTTATGGAAGAAAAAGTCACACAAAAATAAAGCTATTCAGCATACTAAACAAAAAGATAGAATTCTGGCCCACAGCACCTCTTGATAGCAACTCAGTGGCTTCCGAGAAAATGTGTAGGAATGTTATAAAATATTGAAAGATTTATTTCATAAGTATGAAAATCAGGGTGGTTTAGGATAGAAACTGGTGTACTTTTAACATGCTCTTTTTAGAGAGAAATTATTGACTAATGTGCCATTTCAGTACACTAAGGCAATCCGATTACAGACTTGATTTGAAAAGTTTGAAGGATAATAAATGAGGGAAAAAGCTGCACATGTAAGAGAAGTTTTGCCATCTATGAAAGCAAGAAGACTTTACTTAATTTGTCTTCTTCATTTAATTTTTGAGAATTCACTGAACACATTGGAGAGGTAAGAAGAACCCACTGATTCTTGTCATTCTGTTCTTGGACAAAATCCTGAAAGCAGAATACAAACACTGCCACAAGACATCTCATCAAAGACTAAACATGATTAACTACTTCAAAGTGATCACGAGACTTGCAGAGCTATTCAAAAGTAAATATCTCTAAATGAGTCTGTAAGAACACATGTGAGCATAGTGATCCACACATGTATGCGCACACACAGGTTTAAGAACGATTAATTTTTCTTCATCCTTTTTCCTTGCAGAATGCATCCTATCCACTCTCATACTACATTATTTAAGCACTTTTAAGACTTTTGTCTTCAAGAGGCAGTAATTTATTAAAAAAATGTGCTGGTTTTGGCTAGGATAAAGTTAATTTTCTTCACAGTAGCTAGCATGGGGCTATGTTTTGGATTTGTGCTGAAAACAGTGTTGATAGCACAGGGATGTTTTTGTTACTGCTGAGCAGTGCTCACACAGAGCCAAGGCCTTTGCTGCTCCTCACACCACCCCACCAGCAAGGAGACTAGGGGTGCACAAGGAGCTGGGAGGGGACACAGCCGGGACAGCTGACCCCACCTGACCAAAGGGATATTCCATACCATATGGTGTCATGCTCAGCATATAAACTTGGGGGAAGAAGGAGAAAAGGGGGGGACATTCAGAGTGATGGTGTTTGCCTTCCCAAGTAACTGTTAGGTGTGATGGAGCCCTGCTTTCCTGGAGATGGCTGAACACCTGCCTGCCTATGAAAAGTAGCTAATGAATTCCTTGGTTTGCTTTGCTTGCATGCGTGGCTTTTGCTTTACCTGTTAAACTGTCTTTGTTTCAATCCACGAGTTTTCTCACTTTTACTCTTCTGATTCTCTCCCCCATTCCACCATGGAGGGAGTGAGCAGGTGGCTGCATGGGGCTGAGCTGCTGGCTGGGGTTAACCATGACAAAAAGTTTCAGAAAACATTATCTAGGGACCTTTCCTCCTCACCCCATAATCCACAGTGACTAATTTTCCTTCTGTTGAGTTCATTGCCAAAATTTCTTGGCTCTCAGTGACTGCCTTTAAAAACGTAGTCCTATCCTTAAGATAAGCCATACAACTTTGATTTAAATCAGTGAGTATATTCATATATTTCTTAGTATAAAATGTATTCTTTTATCAGGAAATGAAAACACTCACTTTGCACATTTCAGGAAGAATGGTAAGAGGGAGAGAAGTTCTTTCCCTCAAAAAAGCTCTACTGCATTTCCTACTCTAGCTATTGGGCTAGTAGGAAATAATTTCATGCTAGTTTCATGACAGTTTTGTGTTGGCTGTAGCATTTGAGGACCAAGAACACCTTGTTTGAAAGGTCTCCTCCCAGTCTGCCCTAAAATTGCAGGCAGCACTTTCAAAGGTTTGCCTAAATTTTTCTCATCTCTACTTTTTCCTGGTTTATTTCTATGTGTGAGGGGAGAAGGGACAGAAGAGGATCAGTGGAATCAGAAGATAAAACAATAAAACATTGCTGAAAAATACATTTGCAATATATCCTTTCTCAAGAGAACAGAAAGCAGAACCATCAGAATTATGGGAAGAAATATTGTACTGGTAGAATTTTCAGAAAATGATCTGGTTTATAAAGTGTATGATAGGCAGTGCAAATCTGATTCTATACTGCTTGGAATTCTTAGCTAATCTTTTATTCTATTTACATGCCTTTACTGTATGCACGCACCTGATGATAGCTGACATTTTCAGGCCTGAATACCTCTATCCCAGGCAGTTTTCTGAGCCATCACAACTTCGATGGACCATATAGCTGCTCAGCTGGATTATCTGCTGGTTGTTTGATCTGGTGAAGTGCTGAGAAAAGCCTAGGTCTAGGAATATATGCCTGGTCTGACTGATACAGAAGTAACAGACCACCAGAATTTTAACTTCAAGCCAAGTATTTTTCTGGATCAGGTAAGTTGTCAGCATTTTGCAAAATGCTTTATAAAGAGTTTCCAACATAATTATATATACATATATAGTTTTTATTTTCACAGATATATAAATAACCAAACCCTGTGCTTCTCAAAATGTGCCACAGAGTTGGAATATTCTAATCTACGCTCTTCTATATATGGCAAAATACATCCTTTTGAATGTCTATGCTACTGGACAAACTTTGCAGACAGATAATATTTTTATTAGACCAATTAGTTTTCCGGAAACTTCTAGACAAGCTTTTCAGTACAAAAGCCATTCATCAGGTCTGAAGCAGAAGCTATTAAAAAAAACAAGAAAAATTGTTTAGAACTCAATTAGAACTGTTGCTGGTATCTGTGGAGAAGTAATTTCCTAGGGATTGCTTTCTACATATGTAAGCATTTCCAAAAATGCAAATGCTACATCAAGAGATATGAAGTATTAGACTTTGCATTCCTTCACATTTCTGTAAGCCCCAGCTTGAAAACTTGGTCATAAAAGGTAACAATGACATTCACAAGAATCAGATATTATCACTGGGAGGTTGAAGAATGAGATCTCTACTCACTTTAACTCATCTTGAGCTATTCTTTCTTGCATATTCAGCGCTCTACTTCTCAATTCTGCAATCATTCTGTCAGCCTCTCTCTGCAGTTCTGGAAGACTCTTCTCCAAGGTCTCGTCTTGGGTTCTGAGTGTCTTGTTCAGTTTTATAGCCTCTTCGTTTGCAGCTGTAGGGGGCCAAAAATATTAATGTAGGGAGTTAGTAAATAAAAACAACAGAGAGGCTTTAAGCACCTGCCCGTCAACTCTATCAGTGAGTGGAATGCAACTTGCACTGGTTTTTCCTGCTGTGAAATATAAAGGATGGTTAATCCAATGATCAGTAACAAATGAGAAAATGTTATATGTTTCATCAAATCTTGTATTATATCTCACTTTTAAGCACAATAATTAAAGTGAAGAAGTCTTTATATCCAGTATAAGAAATATATTGCTCCCCTCCTCCTCTCCCTGAAGGAAAGAATTTGCACTGAACCTTCAAAACAGCAGAAGATAATCTGGTATATTGTTCATAGAATTATGGAGCAGGAAGTACAAACAATGAAAATTAGATTTAAATTACTTTTGGAGAACTTCAAATATGTCAGTTTTAGCATTCAGGCTTAACAGTGCTAGGAAGAATAAATGATTGGAAAATTTCAGAAAAAGAAGGAGAGAAGAGGAGTGAAAGACACCCATACATGTCTAAACTCGCTCATATGTTTAGAAGTAGATACCCAGAAACGGAAAACAAGAGTATGAAGGTTGGAATATACGATGGTACACTGTAAATGTATTATGTGTTTCAAATAGATGAATTATTCTTAACTGATAAAATTGTACACATGGTATCATATTCAAGGACTGACTAAAATCTTTCTGCCATAGCATACCACAACATATTAGAATAACTCACTTTCAGAAGCAACTAGATCATTTAAGACAATCAGTTCCATCTTAAATTTTAAAAATTACTTCTGCCTTTCCATAGGCACAGGGCTTCCATGTAACTTATTTCTCCAAAATGGCACAGTTCCTGGTTGCATGAGTACTTCTGAATATTTTAACTTAAATCTTTAACTGAAGAAAGGAAAATCTGTCTTCCAGAATTCACATAAATGACTATTTAATCTATACATTGTGTAGATTTAGAAAAAAATATGAAGAAAATTCTAATCCAATGATGTCTTCAATTTGTTGGCAATAACTGAAATTTGGATCTTTATTCAAGAGTGGTTATGTGTGGGGTAGTGAGGACTGGAAAAAGACTACACTTTGCTTAAATGGATCATGGATTGCTTCTGTGCATCATGTTATGTATCATTACTAAGTTACCTCAGACCAGGAATAGGCATATAT